CGAGCGGTTCGAAATTACTGTGTCCTTCTAATGAGGCGGTATTCCAATTCTTAATAAATTGTACGACATTATTACAATGGCAGATCGAAGGAAAAACGAAAAAAAAGAACAAAATATGAAATGTTCAAATTCCAACAGTCATTAATTTCGTACCGTTTATCAATGAAAGGAGCAGCAGCCTCCTAATGAACCAATGTCTTCTTCAACGCCACAACGATTTTAATTCGTTTTGTGCAAATCAACATATCTTTTAATCAGGGGCGTTAAATGCTTGATCATCCATTCGTAACGTTACAACATACTTTTATTCTCAACGTAAGAGCTGTCAAATTAAAATGACTAACGATAAAATAATTAAATTCACAACGGCCGCTGTTTAAGTATAACCTCCAGCCAATTAAAAAACAATAATATTAAGAAACATAAAACAGGAATAAAAACACAATGTTTTATAATTATAATGAATGGAAAAAAGCACGAAGTAACGAGACGAAAATTTGCGGCACATTCAAACTCGCAGCATTTTGAATTATAAAATTCCCGAATCGCAATCAGGCCAGTAAAACAATGGAAAATTGAACATAAAACGTTTGTTTGTATTTTATCGAAAGACGACGGATCTAAAACTGCTTTTCAAACTTTTTTTTCCCTTTATTTTTATACACAGCTCCATGCTACGTCGTTTTCACGGCGGCATCATAACGCCGTTAATAATATAATCTCACGAGCTATATAAAAAATGTACACTATGTATAATTAAAAATGGACAAGAAATTTTCTTTTTCATGATTTTTTGATATATTTTTTTGTCGTATATATTTTTGTTATTTTTTTTTTTCTTCATTTATTTATTTATTTTGTTTTTTTTTTCTATATATATATATACTTTTTTTTATTATTTTATTTTATTTTGTTTTTAAATAGATGACGTAGACATAGGATAGTTGTATTAAAATTTGAATATTTAGATCCTTTAAAAAGAGAGAAAATAATTTCCGATTGTTATATTTGCTTTCATATTAAAGAGAATTATATACCATATTTATAAAGATTATTCCCTTTTATATACTGGCTTGTTCACGCGTATATATATATATATATTTTATATATATGTATAATATAATATGCTTAGCGATTAGTATTAGCAATAATGAATAATAAAAAGGGAGGCATTAATCAAACAATATGTATAAGTAATTATAATATATAGCGATAAGAGTAATAGCAATAATAATAATAATAATAATAATAATAATAATAATAATAATAGTAATTATGATAATTATGATAATTATGATAATTATGATAATGATGATAATATTAATATTAATAATAATAATAATAATAATAATAATGATAATAATGATAGCAATAAATTTATAAATTCTAGTAGATAAGACATGAGAGAGATTTTGCATTCGATTAATTTTCGTACAGCTTTTTCATCTCTGATTTAATTAACGCTCCTTTCGCTTTGCTTGTTTAAACTCGTTCGGATTTGCAATGTCGCTAATCCATTAACGAGTGTGAGATGATTTCTATTACAAATGATGTGTGGTTGCTCTGCTCTTTAATTTACAAATGACGCGCGATTTACACAGATGAAGGAACTTTTATCGTCATTCCTTAAACATTATTCGTAATATGTTCACAAAGCCGTTATTTATAGAAATAAATTGCCTTCCTCTATTAAATACCCTGACAACTGAAAATAATCAATTGATTCACTTTTAATTCATTTATTCTCTTTAGAGCTGGAATGTCTGTCTGTTCGGCAGTCGGTGCAATGTTAATTGGGTTGCTTTTATCTTTCTCTTCCCTTTATCATTCCTAATGCTTAAGAAGCTTGACTCCCCTCTGACATTTTTCGCAAACTTAGATAAGGCTTTTTCATTAAACCAAAACAAAAACAAACAAATAAAAAAAAAAAAAAAAAAAATACAAAATACAAAAAATACAAAAAAAAAAGGCCCGCCATCGGAAGATTATTATACGCGTAAGTACGTTTAGTCGCAAAACTTACTACTTCTCGCGTCCGTTCAATTAGCCGCGCTATTTATTTATCGCCTTACAAATAAGTAATTCTCGTGCGAAGAAAGAGTAAGAGAGAAAAGGTACCTAGGAATTTGTCAATTTGTTTAATAAATCGTTATTTACAATATCTTACAAAGAAAGCTGCTACATTCCTCTTCTTCGTTCTTTTCTTTCCTCGTTACTTTTTTTTTCTTTCTTTTTTTTTTCATCTCCTTTATTTTGTACAAAATCACAACGGACATTTTTTTTTTTTTTTTTTTGCTCGAGTTGCTTGATACCGTAATAGCTTTTGTTTATATAATAACACCTACGTTAACAAAATATTATACATTGTACAAGGGGGTGCAACTCGACAGAACTCTTCAGTCTCTTCCGACGGCTTTCCTTCCTCTATTTTTGACTTTAAGAATTGCACTGAATCTTTCCATCACATCCGAAGTTTTAAGAAAACGAATAAACTCAAGCTTCCCGTGGATAATAGAATAATTGTAGATAAAGCGAGCGAGCCATGAAACATGCGGAAAATGCCAAAGAGGGCGCAACTCTAATATTCTTTCCCACTCTCACTTTCTTTCTTTCTTTCTTTCTTGCATCCGTCCTTCCTTCCTTCTTCCTTCCTTCATCCTTCCTTCCCTTCATTATTTATTCATTAAGTTATTTGTTTTTTTCTTTCTTTCTTTCTTTTAATCTGTCAGTAGTCGTCGATTATAATACAACGAAAACGGCCTTGCAATCTGCGAGTGAATATGGTAGGACGAGAGGGGCGTTTTATGCACGGAAGGGGCTAATTTACACGCGCATTGTGCTGGTTTGATTTGCTGATTTTAATAAGGTAAAAAAAAAAAAAAAAAAATAAAGTAAAAAAAAAAAATTAAAAAATAATAATAAAATAGGAAAAAAATTAAAAAAAAAAACAACTTTTTTTTTTTTATCATTTGTACAATATACAATTGAGTTCAAACACGCTCGAACATGCCACGAACGGTGGCTGCGTATTATTCTGGAAGTTTGTAAAAATCGGTTACCGAATTTATTATTTCCATATTTTCCGAAAGCTCAATATTTTACAATTCTCAAGTGAGATGAGTACCGAATGGGCAAATCATATGGATACCTTTAATAATTAGGTTCGGGCAGCTGTATCGAAACGTAACTCATATTTCATAAATTTAAGTAATTAGTAATTATTATAATACACAATATTCACAGAGTCCGTTAAAAAAGAAGGTAGGGGATTTTTTTTAATAATTTTTTTTTTCGTGGAAAATAAAATAACCGTTGAATTTGCGGCTCCTCGCGATTGGTGTGAGGGGGTCACGTCGTTTCTATACACATTTTATTATTTATATCACAATTTACAAAATTCGAGGACTTTTTTTTTCTTTTTAATTAATAGGATAAAATTAACTGAAAAATGGCAGGGACGTTGCACATGTAAAAAATGCTTTCTTGCGGTTCTCACTCGAGCACGTATAAAATCAAGGAGAACGTTTACTGAATATCGTAGTCCCGCCTACTTTGTTGGATTTTCGTTATCATTTTCACCGAGGAGTTACCGTTTGTTTTGTTTTCGGGTCGACCTGTCTGTTAAGCACAGTCAAAGCGTACCAAATCTATAAAGTACCACAATTTGCATTTTATGCAGATATTGGGAAGTACGAACAAGTCTTGTCAACGAACAAAAAAATGCCTTCACTTCCAGATTTGTATACATCACTTACGTAACATTTCCTTACTTGAAAACGAATGAATATCGGATTCGTACAAACCGTTTCAACGCAATGTGTCTTGGGTTAAATTTCCAGTCGGATTGGGGCTGTTCTGGACTTTGCTCCCATGTCAAACACTATACTTAAACTTTAAAGATACTAAATACCATTAACGCTTTATCATTGGCAATAAAAACCAAACCGTAATGTTCACATCATTAAAACAAATCATTGGCAATTAACGATTGTAAAAGAAAAAACTCCAAGCTGCATTTTTAACATCGTGTGCCAATTATGAAATCAATTAAAAGAAATCAATTCGACAATTGTTAATAGTATTCAGTACTTTTAATCTGTACCAAATTTGTTCTATTTGCGGAAACTGTACGCAAAAATTCTGCTACTCTCATGCAGAAGCAGGACATTTCACATACAAAACGTACATCATATGTCGGATCATCATACAACGATAAATGCATGCAGCACTAAGATCTATACTAGCTGTTAATTATCTTTTAAACTGAGGCAGCAGCAGCAGCAGCAGCAGCAGCAGCAGCAGCAGCATCAGCAGCAGCAGCAGCAGCAGCAGCGCGCTCTTACTTTGCCTGCCTTCGGTATTTCTTTTCGATTCCTATTACTTTTATCATCATGATCTATTTTCGAGAAATTAAAAGAAAACAAAAAAAAAAAAAAAAACAAAAAAAAAACAATCCATTATTGGCTTCTATCATCCGAGACGTTTGTCTGCATTTTTCTTTTGAATTTCTGACGTCGCATTGAATAGTCGTCGGCATTTGTATAATTTAAAACTTAAAACCTTGTAAGGATACTACAACCGTACCATCGATTTTAACACCTTATACAATAAACAACGAACATCTTGTTCACGTACGTATCGCCTAATTCAAAAAACTACATATCTGACACAAAAAAAAAGAAGAAAAAAAAGAAGAAAAAAAAACCAAAAGAAAAAAAAAAACAAAAAAAAAAAAAACAAAACCACAAGCTACTTGTTTTTTTTTCCAATATAACACATCAAGGTTTATCTGTGCATAATGCCTACGAGCACCTGGATCCACGATTCTACATAAATTGTTTGCTATGGCCTGTCGAACCTCGCGCCGACACCTTTGACATAACCAGACTAACCGGAGCTCGCGCTAACACGAGGTCAAGGAAAAAAGCTCAGCACAAACGGCGTCTGCGACATCAATCTTATGCGCCCGCTTGCCATTATAAACTTGTCGTACATAAAATATCGTGAATGATCGTGAATCGAGGCGCCAGCACAACGACAGGTTGCTCCACTCGTACAGACGTATTAATCATTGATCTTGGTTCGCGCCCGGAGCGATCGACTGATCAATTACAGTCAGTCGTCTAATGCCTGTTTTTCTTTATAAAACCTGTGTCGATTGTTGGGACGAGGTTGTGACGGATCCCGCGGTCGAGGCGGGCGGTCCAATGGGCCCGAGGTCGCTCGCCCCGGCTGAGACACCGGTACTGGCGGCACCCACTCCCATAGCGTTCGCAGTCTTCATGAAAAACTTCTCGAGCTTGACGATGATGTGCTTGCCGTAAGTGTACTTACGCAGGCTCGCGAGATACGGCCGAATCTTGTGCATGAGGATCTTGCGCTGGGCTGGCTCGGCCACGTCTATCATCTTTTGCACGACGTAATTGGCGTATTGGTCCTTCATCATTATGTTTAACGAACTGTCGACAGAAAGAAGGCGTTTTCAATAGATTCGACGCGCGTGGTTGGTTAGGGGGCGGAGGGCGGCGGTGGCGGGGGTAGGTAGGTAGAGATTTTGTTACCAAACCGGCGAGCCTCGGCTCGTTCGGATCAAGTCGATCGACTAATTTTTCCTTTCGCCGATCAAACCACGTGTAACGCGTCCTTACGATCTTTTTCCCCCCCCCCCTCCCCCCTCCCCCTCCCCCTTCCCACCCCCGCGGTCTAATGGTTTAACCAAACCATTTGATAAAGGGAGGATTTCGTTCCGAGCGCCGGGGCTTACCTGTCGTTGAAACCGCAGACCTCCTCGATCAGCACGGCTCTTTCCTGTCTGGTGGCATGAGTCACGCACTTCTCGACGACGTTGCTGGCGAATTTGTGCTGCGACAGGGTCAGGACTTTTCCACGCACGCTGTTTATGAGCTGGGCCTTGTCCTCGGGCTTGCCGTGCTCTACAAACGTCCGAACGAAAGCATTAGCAAGGTCGTTAGTGGGTTAGCCATAGCAGCCGTGCCATCCCCGGCGCCGATCGACTACACTCACCGAGCACGTGCTGTATGACGTAGTTGCCGTATTGGTCTTGTATAAGCTGGTCGGTCGCCGCGTGAAGCTCCTGGAGGATGCCCTGCGTCTGCTCGGGCGTGCAGTGCTCGAGGATGCGCTGAATGACTCGGCAGCCGTACGGGTGGGTGCTGAGCGAGTGCACCTGTCCTGCGAAGGCTCCGATGACAAACTGTAGCGCACGCGGCTCTACGCACTCGATGCACTTCTGCACCACGTGATTTCCGTTCTGATCCTTCACGCACTTGAGAACGTGGCCGTCGAGCTCGCGCACGATTTCCTGCTGCTGCTCCGGCCCAATTGACTCCAGGGCCTTTTGAATCACTCGGCAGCCGTACATTTGCAAGGCCAGCGGCAACACGTGCCCGCGCACCTGCGAATTGATCAATGCATGACGAGTTAAGACGTGTGCGCAACTTACACTCTCGGTCACCGCCCTTCGACTTCATGGCTATTACATTTCAGAAGGTTATTAAACGCAATCTCGATAGCTTAATCACTTCAAACGTGATCATTTGACACGCATTTATCATCATTTAATGGAAGTTATGGGGAGTCAGTCGTGCGGGATATTGAGTTTGGTTTAATTTTAAGGATCGGGACACGGCAATGGTACATCTTCACTCCTCAATGCCACGAATAACAGCTGAATAAACAACAGCAATAACCATGACAATGAGAGTGATAACAATAACAATAATAATGATAATGATAATGATAATGATAAGCATTAGTAGTAATAATAGTGATGATAGTGATGAGAGTGGCCGTAATTATTGGCGATTAGGGCGTACCTTTTGTGCCAGAGTCGACTTCTGTTCGGGTGTACCGAATTCGAAAAACTTTTGAATGACATAATTCCCAAAGACGTCGGTCATGAGAGAGTAAGCGGAAGCAAGAATCTCCTGGAACACGAGTTGCTTCTCGTTGGCCGAAGCTCGTTCCAGTTTTTGCTGAATGAAACGGGATCCGTGCTGATCCTGGCTAAACTCCACTATGTGATTAGCCAAGTCACGAAGTTGAAGGCTTGGGAATCTGCACGAAAAGATTATGAATTAATTGTAGCTTCGGCTAAAGGGTCTCGAACGACAATCATACGTCCGTCCGCGTTGGTATTTATCATTGCGCACGAAACGATTCGATGGCTCGAGTGATTGCCCATCGAGTTGTTTCGAGTGCGGTGAGCAGAAAAGGATGCCCTGGTTACAGTACTCCGCGGCAGTGCTTACCTGTTGTTCCTAAAGTCCTCGAGGAGGCGGGATCTACCACCGGTGCTCTTGTCGCCGCCGACGCCCGTGGTAGCACCCCGTCCGGGCTTACCCACGAGATTCGGGAAGAGGGAGCTGCTCGAACCGAAGACGCCGTTGGTCGTGAGGGCGGGCACGGCGCTGGTGCGGAACTTAGCCTCGGCCCCGGGAGCAGCCGAGACGCGATTCGCACCGCCGACGAGGCCGCCGAGGGAGCCGCCGATGGAGGGCGGCGGTGTCAAGGAGAGACCCAGGGGACTCGGGGAGGCCGTCACCGTGCCTGCGTCACACACACCTCGGAATTCAGTTTTTCAGTCAGCGTATGCCAAGATAATTATAGAAACTCCACGCTACTACCTTTCATTGTATGTTTACATGATTGTATGATTGTATGTTTATATGTTTGTATGATTGTAGGTTTGTATGTTTGTATGATTGTATGTATGTTTGTTCGTTGGTACGTTAGTTAGTTTGTTTGTGTTCGTTCGTTCGTTCGTTCGTTCGTTCGTTCGTTCGTTCGTTCGTTCGTTGGATGGTTGGTTGGTTGGTTGGTTGCTTGGTTGGTTGGTTGGTTCGTTGCTCGTGCTTATACGAGCGCGCGCATCCGCGGTTCAAGGCGAATTGGAATGGAGTGGAGTGGAGCGGGCCAGACGCGAGTAAGAGACCCACAGCCACTCCGGGACTCCCATTTCCCCCCTCACAATTGACGAGAGAAAATCTCAATAGGGATGATGTAGCGCTGCGGATGGCGCTTCACGTTCCGCGCCATCGCTTTTCTCCAAGAGCCTTTGCGCATCGGGCGTGCAAGAGGAAAACGCGTTGATGTTTGATTATTACTACGAGTCCGCGAGTAAATGGGAGGAGACTTTCTTTCATTCGTTTTAATGATTTTAATGATTTTAGGGCAATGATAAGGGGAGCTGCCGCCGCATCTGCTGCTTATTGATTGCGCTCGACTCTCCCCGTGGTGATACGAAGCGATGGAGCAACTAGACCGTGACTGTTTCGCTCTTACTGCAAATTGTAATGCCAAATTGTATAATGAGGCAGAGAGAGAAATAGCATGTCTTTCATTGCTTCAATTAGCGGCTAAATTGCAGATTGTCGTTCTAATTTTTTTTTTTTACAAAACAAACTTTCGTGAAACGTTCCCATGTAATAGGAAAACTGTAAATTACGTCGATGAAAAATTATTGCAAACGTTTATTTATCCTTGTCACTGTGTCGTAGGTGTTAGTGTTGTAGTTGTAGTTATGATTAGGAGAGTGTTTGGACATTTAGATATAATAAATAAGAAATGATAAATAAATGGATTTTTCAAACGTTATCATTAACGGTTCTTTTTCTTTTTGTCAACAAATTTCATTCTCTCCTATTTTTTTTTTCTTTTTTTTCTTTTTCTTTTTTTTCTTTCGAATCTCGAAATTCCACTTTGAGAACAGGCATCCGATTATTTATTTCTTTGGTATTTTCTCTTTATCTACGCATATTTATGAGTCAATAGGATAACTGTATTTTATGTACATGCTCGTATTCACACGAATATAAATATTTTATGATCATGGTGAATACGTTGGGCATGTATTTGTAAGTAAAATTTTTAAATAACATTTACCCTAGTGCGTCATTTAATTTGTAAAATGAGTTAATTTTCGGGTATAGTTGGAAAACAAAAAACAAAACAATATTTATGACCGCCAATGTATCGTTATGCATATGCGATTATATATTGCTTTTTACAGATTTACAGAGTGTCTATTTAACTTGAAAATTTATAACCTCAATTAAAAGTGGCATCCCATTACATAGAGTACAGTAGTAAATAATTATTCATTATTTAATTATTTATAAGTCTTAAAATTCGATAATTCGACAAAAAAAAAAAAAAAAATAAAAAAAGGCCTACTATTATTCGATGCTTTCCGAGTTAATATTCAAGAAAATTCGTGAATACGACGAATTAAGAAAATTTTCAACGTATTAGTCAAATTTATTGAAAAATTACTACCGTGCCAAGAGAATATTGCTAAAGTCAATAATTTTTCTAGATAGCAGACACTCTCATTTTAATATAAGCCAGAGATTATTTATAAATTATTGTAACGATAGGTTAAAAGAGAAAAAGAAAAAAAAAACAAGTAATTATTTCGTATTAAGAAAGTATTGGTTAATAAATTATATTTACATGAGTGAAGCATGAATATTTTGAATTATAGGGAAGAAATTTTAATTTTAGTAAAGGTCTTTAAAAACAGAGAGAGAAAAAAATTGTACATCACATCATTATGTCATCTGTGTGGATAATTATTAAAAGATAAAAGCAACGTTAACTGTAGACGCATTATTATTGCTTATTTTACAAGCAACGCAACAACAACAAATAATTACCGAGTACATTAATCGTTCGTAACGTAGTAAGAGATGACACATGCACAATAAAACAGACTAACGAAGTATCGTTGGGATTTCGTTAGTATTTCACAAGGTGCAATTGCTCTCGGCAATTCCTCGAGGTTTATGAAAAATGAAAATATCAAATCCATTTGTTTAACATAACGGGAGTTATTATTGATTAGAAAAAGAAAAAGGATCATGCCCTCACCAAGAGCGCCGTAGCTCTGCGGCCATTTTCCTCTGTTGTATTCTAAGCTGGGACTAAATGCAGATGTGTTTCTATCGAATGAATCCCTCCTACCAGTGGACGATGCTCC